ATAAAATTTTAAACTCCAAAAATGATTAAAATCAAGTAGATCTATAAAAATATGAAAATCTTGAAAATGGACGGTCTAAATAATGTATTGCAAGATGCACTATTTATGGGACTCAAAATCTTTTTTTATATGTATTCATACATCTCGATGTCGAGATGATCAATTAGAGGTTTTTTCAATATTAAAACAACATTTTCTGATGAATTTTTTAGGTGCATCTGTAATTCTACATTTTAAGGTTGCAACCTTATATAAACTTTTTCCTTACATAAATGATGGCTCTAACATGTTCTTATTATGTATTATGAATATTGAAAGATTATATATAATAAGGAAATTTATCAAAAGCACCCCAGATATGAACTGTTTAACATCTCCCACATTTCTTTTGATTTAATTTCAAAAAGCAAATCAAAGGATGCATAATAATGAATTAGAATAGTTGATATTTTAGGTGTTTTTTGATAAATGTGTGAAATGTTAAATAGTTGATATTTTAAGTGTTGTTTGATAAATTTACCTATATAATATTGTATGTTGATTATATATCAATTATAATGGGTGGGGTTTCTTTCTGGTCGCAGTTGCATGCTCCCTCAGGTCCCTGTGCTGTCTGATACAAAATGCACAGTGAAGATGTACTGATGCCATGTCAATGTCAGCACATTGTGCGCCTTCTGCTTGTATAGGATGGCACAAACGGCTGTGTTTGCATGCAACTGCAGCCATGAAATAACTTTTTCCTTGTAAAATTGAATTTATTGTGAACGAGAATGCAAACATTTATGCCATAAAATTATTAACAATTATTTAATCAATATAATTAATAACATAATTGAAGTAAACATTCGCAGATTATTCACTTCTCTAATGTACTTATTTAAACTATATGCCATAATTTTGAATTTGATAAATATTTCTGCTATCTATGTGAAACTAAAATTACAGTCTAGCCTCAGGTTATGGTTTGTTTGAAAATCATATTTTTGAATTGAAGTTTTCATTCATGTTTCTAAGTATGGAAATTCCTAGATGATTATTGTTTCAAATTTCCTGCACCTGCCCTCCCACCTATGCTTCAACTCTTGCCTCCTCTATGATTCTGGCTTTTAAGGCTTCCCAATTCTTACCTTTCAGATTGAGTAAAACTGCCAACTTGCTAAATAAAAATGATGTACATTCTTCAGTATGAGTTTTAATATCCATCTTTTCATTTGTGACAGATTTCTTGTATCTTTTGCTGGGAAGTATCTGCAATACGATTCTTGTCAAGCTATTTCACTCGAGGAGACTAAATCATTCAGGGGAATTGGAGGGAGCTTCATTCATTGTTCTGACACTGAAATGTTCAAAATACGTATCCCATCAACTGATCCAAAGCTATTTGGCCCTGTGTTTATTGAGGTTATGATTTTATTTTGATTTACTACTGCTATGTGAGGTGAAAAAGGATCAGTTCTTTTTGTAATTGTTTGCATATGCTGCTCAAGAAAATTTGTGATGGTAACCACTACGATTGAGGTTCTTTTCTATTTCTTTTTTATTGTTCTTTAAACTCGTCGGACTATTTCTATAGCATTTTTTACTAGATAGACTATTGATACTTGTTTTATGCAGTCTTGTCATAGGTCATGCATCCTCATGCACATTGTAAACATGAAATGTTGTACAATAATGACAGTTTCTCTGCTCAGGACTTCATTATGATGGATTTTAGAAAGTGAAATTTATGAAACTGCACCTAATATTTGAACTATTTAACATCTTAACGATATTTTTTTTTTTGAGAGAAATTCACTATAATTGCATTACAAAGTAGTAAAAGTACAAATAGTATGGTGACCCAAAAGGGTCACGTCTTACCCATATTTTGTGATCTAATTTCAATAGCCCATCATTTTTTTTGATCAAATTTTAAATAGCCCGTCAAATGACACATCATAATGGGTTTTGAAATCTTTTAAATTACACCCAGGATAAAATGTTAATAGTTCAACTTTTAGGTGTATTATGATAAATTTCCTGTTTTTGAAGAGCTTTCGTCTTTTGTTACATTGATAAACAATTTTGCCCCAGATTTGCCCCTACAAAATGTTTAGGGATGACTTATATCATCTGGTCGATTCATTGATAATTTTCATGTCACTTCATCCTATTCTTCTATGGCAATACTTATGACTGACCAAATTGTAGTAATTTTTTGTGTAGCTTCAAATGACAACTTCTTTCCCTTTATGAGTTATTGTGGGCTCTTTTTTAGTTATAATAAGAGAGAAGCAATGATAAGTAAAATGATGCCAAGGGGCTTATGACTGTCGCCCTTGTTACTGTCAAAATCAGTTCTGGCTTGTATTCTAACTTGACTTTTTCTTATAGGTAGAGAATGTGTCTGGAATTTCGAACTTCATTCCAGTTTTGCTGGGGGATAAGTGGACTTGTTCTGAACTTCAAAATTTTGAGCTGATGCTTGGTGAAGCTGTTTGCCATGAGTACGACAATAATTTTGTCATGAATGCAGCTTGTAGGTCATCCAACATTGCTGATTCAGATAAAAAGTGCTTCTCTGAACTTTTATTGGACATTGCTTGGTTGCTCAAGGAGCCTCATTTTGATCATGATAGGAATGAGACTGAACTAAACTCAATGCACTTTGAGAGGTGGAGTTGTTTATTAAGGTTCCTTGTGAGAAATGGGCTTGTATTTGTTCTAGAAAAAGTTCTAAAATCACCAATGGTTTTAATGAAGCTCGAAGAGTCTGAAAATCAGACATCTGATGTTGATATGAGGCTGTTCCGAAAATATGTGAACCAAGCAAGAGAACTAGTGGATCAACAGAACAAGCGTGGCAGATTACGTTTGCGTTCTAAGAACATCACTTCTCAAGGAAGTTCACCACCAACGCGTGATATCAATGCCAATATTTTGAATGATAAGCATTGCACCAACCAAGTGAGTGTTTGTCTGCCTTGATCTTTTTCTGACTTTTAGTGTCAGCCTTAGTCTCCAGATTATAGTTGATAAATGTTAAACTTTGGGAATATTAGTTTTGACCTTCAGTAACATTTCTTTTGTAATTTATGAGATGCTGGTTGTTCCCTGGGCATATTTGTAGAAATTGTTTACAATACAATTTGAGTTATACTGCTACTAGTTTTTGTAACCTTGACACAGTGAAAGTAGTTTTCCTAATATGTACTACAGATTGTACTATTGTACTCAAGGAAAACAAACTGTAGGATCCTCTACTGCCATGTCAGTTTATTATTCCGTTAGCATCAACCTTTCAGCCTGCTCAAATGGACCGTAAGATAGTTATGGTTGTTTTTAGTTGTAGGAAAGCTTAGAAGACTTCTATCATCCTTAAATGGTATCTAAGAGTAGAGAGAGATGAAAAACATCCCTTTCCCTTGGTGACGTCAATTAGAGCTTTAGAGCTTTCTTCTTTGACATTTCTCTTTGCATGCAATTCTTGTTTTTCTTGGGTTTCCTCTGATTGTGTATACACGTTTGAGCATGTCTACTCTGGTGCAGCTTGATGGATACTTTAATCTATGATGCAAAGAAGCACTTATGATAAGAAAATATCAACCCTATATCCAGGCCACCTAAAACCACAAGATGGCAGGTGGCAGTCATTCTAGAACTATGCAATCTTCGAGCACTTGACCCAACTGGACCCCACCTTTAGAAACCATGCCATGTGTGATGCATATAACTGGAATTTACATAGCCTCACAAGTCATAATACCTTATCAACTAGTTGATGGCATCCTAAAGTCTCTGGAAGCTTGCCTTTTATCCTTTCAACTATAGACGATTTGAGAAAGGGAAACCTTCTGGACATTTGACTTTGTTTGCCTGCGTACAAGTAAAACCTGGCACTTGTGAATCAATTTTATTCCTCCACCAACATGCACTTTGCCTCATAACTGTTTGCCATGATTTCTAGAGTCAAGTTGGGTCGGGCTAGATTGTGTTAAATGGTAGAAATGAGTTGAGAGCTAAAAATTCTTGGTACTTCAAAAAAAAACGAAAAAAGAGGAAGAAAAATAGGTAAACTAGAAAGAAAGAAAAAATGTTCACTAGGAAAGGAAAGGGGCTGAGAGGGGAAGCAACATGACCCTGGAAGAAGCAGGCAGTAGCTTGGGAGTACAGGAGTGCATTGAGGAAGGGTTTTTAATGATGTAATCCAAGTTCATGTTAGGTGGCTTGAGATTGCTATATTTAGTTGCCTTCAACTGTTATTTCACATTATGTTAAAAAAGCTTGATTTAGTTTCTGCTCTGTATCCATTCTGTTCTTTTTTGGATATGTTTGTATCTTATCTCATTGTTAAAAAAAAGAAATAAAAAAGGAATTACAAATGCTGACTGCTCCAATCTATTGTGCACAACAGGAAATGGGGTCTAAAGGTGAGAGAGACCATGAAAAATCTATTGCGACGTACTTGGTCCAAGGTGGTGACATGAGAACCCCCTTGTTGAGTAAAGAAGTAGTGATGAGGGTGAACCATTCTCCTTGTCCGATAGAGCGGCCGCGCTTTTATCCCAGCGCTGGCATTATTGTAAGCCCTCGCCTTTTCCTCATTGTGCTCGGTGCAGTTGTTATGTGTTGTGGAGTTTGTATCGTCCTTCGGCATCCCCATGAAGTATGGGAGTTCTCCATCTCTTTGCGAAGGTGTTTAACAGGCACACCAAAACGTTAGTCAAAGATCCTTGGAGGTGCTTTATTGCTCTCGCTTTCAAATTGTTCTCTATGTAGAAAAGCCTATTTACAGTTCGCAGGAAACCCAGTTGTAACATTGAGTTCATTCTTTTTCATCTCTACTTTCTGTTTAAGGTGGAATACTAAAACGGATGCTTCATCCTCAGGTCCCAATGTATTAGAGAATTATGTTTTGTTGTTTCTTTCTGTTGCAGATTCAGCACCGCTACAAGGATACATGCTTATGCATCGATATATATTTGTACATCCGCTAAGTTACATATGTACAAAGCACTCTTCGGTGCATGTGCAAATGTATTGCTTCCAATGTACTTGCATGCACATGTGATGCATTTGTTACTCTGATGTGTCCTTTTGCTTTTGTGCATGTATTTTTTTCTTTATGATTTTTATTTCCAACGCTTGATGAAAAATTTCTCACAATTTTGACATATTTTCTCCCATGAAATTTTTTCCCACTCCGTATTGATCCTTATGATCTATAATATATACTCCACAAACACAATTCTTTAGGAAGAGCTCCTAGTGAAATAGCCCCAGCTGCTTCATTTCCAGAGGAGGCTAACTAACGAGAGTGATGTTTAACACATGATTGGTGTTAAAGAAGGATGATAAGAGCCTAGATTCAGCAAGGACTGAACATATGAAGATTTTGTCTCCAAAAGTAATTTCTCCTTTGGGCATACAATGACTCTGTGTGGTCGTACTTTCAGTTATCTAATAAAAGCAGTGTTTGATAAAATATATTCATGGGTTGGGTCATTCATCCACTGATCTCTTATGTTGAATTGCCAATTTGGATAAGCCGGATCAGCTATCCGGAACATATTTAGAAAGAAAAAATATTAAAAGAGAGGTTTATGGGTGTGATTTATCAAGATACTTAAAAAAACATTAGAAGAGCTGAAAAAAAGGAAAAAATAAAAAAGAGAGGTTTGTAGGGGGGGGCCAGGACAGTACAGATTGTTTGTGAGAATTAAGTTATGTTGAGGCCGATTTCTGGTCCGGATTGGACGATTTTTTATCCCGGCCGTGAGTTTTATTTCATTGCTTACAAGTAATGCATCTCTCTTCTCAGTCCAAGTGATTTTTACATCACTGCCTACAAGTAATGCATATCTCTATTCAGTCTTAAGTGATATTTACATCACGTCCTGAAAGTAATGCATATCTCTTCTTAGTCTAAAAGGTGCAATTTCATGAGGCTCTAGAGCTCCTTACTTGTCTAACGGGATTTGAACGGCATATAGTGCAGGGCGCAGGGTTTTGATACATTGAAGAAAAAACAATGACAATCATTTAGTATAAAGGAAACACAGTAAGGTCAGCTGTACTGTGCATTTGTCTTGCATCCCAAATAATAATATCCAGAATTTGCGTCAGCAGCAAATGAACATTCTATCATGTAATTCTGTGGGAAGAAAAGGAAATTACTGCATCAAATTAGTGAAGGGTTTTCAATTCTGATTACGGAACTGCCACATAGACCCTGTTACAAGTTTGGTATTTACAAGTTTTGGTAGCTTTTAAGCTACCAACTCTGTTATGAAACTGCCATGGCATATTACAGAATTGAGAATAATATGCATAAATGGATGTGGAGATGACTGGATTAGCAGGAACCAGCATATATCTCTCTGCAGCAAAAGAAAACCATGCATACCCCTCAAGGGGCCACAATTGATTTGACCACCACGCAGCCTATCAATTATTGTCCAATAGGGCCGTATGGTATGCAGAGAAAGATCGAAAGGCCCAGTAATTGTCCTCCACATTTTGCAGCCATGGTAAGATTTCCCCTTCTCCTTACCCCACGATGTAAATGCATACACTTTGGGGGGAAGAAATTATGGAACTGGTAGTTTCAGGTCGCCTGGTTCCTCTCTTGCAACAAGGAGGCCATGCCCAGTCGTTTCAAGCAAGACGCCAGATGAAGAGGCCTTACTCCGTTTACGCTTTTTGCATTGACAGGAGCTCCATGTTTGATCAGATGGTGTGCAATCAAGGCATGCCCCGCCTCAGCAGCGCAGTGCAGTGGCGTATACCCGCAATCGTCCACCGAGTCTACACGAGCCCCATGGTCAAGCAGCAGCCTGACACTATCGAGGCATCCCTTGAAGGCGGCCCTGTGCAAGGGGGTCCAGCCATGCTGGTCTCTCCCATCGACCGTAGCCCCCTGTGAGAGGCATTTCTCAATGCCTTGCACGTCCCCTTGGGCTGCGGCCTTTTGCAATGCATCGCCCAAATGGAGGGCATCCAGAAGATGGCGGTGACCTGCGTCGCGGGCTAGCATGAAGGGTGTTCTGCCATCACATGTGAGGGCATACTTGGTACTTGATACTGCATCAGAGAGGAGGAATTCGACAAGGGGGAGATGTCCCTCGGAGGCTGAGCAGTGCAGAGGAGTCCAGCCACTGGAATCGGCGCACATCGCATCTCCACCGGAGGAGATGCAGAATCTGAGGGCATCCAGATGGCCTGCAAGCGCGCAGGCATGGACAGGGGTCCGGCCGTAGGAGTCTGGGGAGTTGAGAAGGGATTCGGCAGAAGCACCCATTGACGCCTGAAGGAGGGCAGAGAGGATGCCGACCTGACCAAACGAGGCAGCGGTGTGCAGGAGACTGGCAGAGGTTGAGGGGTCGAGTTTGAGGCTATCATTACCACCAGAACACTGAAGGAGGGAGCGGACGACGTCCGAGTGACCTGATGAGACCGCTTTCTCCAAGAGGGAAGCAGTCTCTGCAGGAGTGCAGGCAGAGATTGCACGGGCGATCAAGACAGGGTTTAGATGATAACAATGAGAATTATTGAGCAGAGAGGCAAGGACATCGTGGCCTGTGAAAGAGATGGGGATAATGGCATCCTTAAAGATGTAGGACGAAGCCGGGAAGGAGAATAGTTGGTGGAGCTCCTGCTCATTTGCCCTTCCCGTGGGGAGCATGCAGCTCCGAACCAAGAGCTTGGATTGTGGGGAAGAGAGGGACAGTCGATCGAGAGGATCGACGATGGAGATTTGGAGAGGGGCAGACGAGAGAGGGGGAATCACGGCTACAGTACTTGGCTTGAGGGAGAAGGCGGAGGCAGAGGCCGCGGGGGTGATGGAGATGTAGATGGCAACAGACATGGTGTGCATGAGGTTGCGGACACCGAATCTGGCGGAGCAGCGGTGGCCCTTTTGGAATCTCAGCTCCAATTCCTCGACGTCCACGCTCACCAGCCTGTCCATTCCCACCCCTTTCTTCCTCTCTCTCTAAGAGCTTCATCATTGAAACTACTCTACTCTGCTTTAAACAATAAATTAATGGAAATACAATAGAAAAGAAACGAGAAATGGTGGGTGGAGCCACTTGTTTCTTCTTCAACTATGGTATTTGTCTGTTTCTTGGGTTGCAATGTAAATGGGGATGGGACCGGACCAAAAACTTTTATTTTTTCTCAACATTGGGATTGGATGGGATGGGAATAAAAAAACTCCAAGAGATCACCGATAAGCTCTCTATCTTGGTCCAGCATTTTCTTCCTTTTTTTCCCTGATATTCGCAGTGAAGTACCAAAAATAAAAAATATTTTTATGGGTGTAGTTTGCATCTTTAAACATTCCCCCTACACTATAAAACTTTTATACTTCCCCTTGTTTAACCATCCATTTTAAACATTCCCCCTACACTATAAAACTTTTATACTTCCCCTTGTTTAACCATCCATTCTAACTGGATGGCTTAGATGACCCAATCACAATGTCACCTTTAATATTATTTTATTTTTATTTTTTTATACAAAATATTTTTACACCAAAATTTAGGTGTTCAATCCTCTCTTTAACTAGCACCTATAAAAAAAAATAACTAAAATGCCTCTGAAAGTTTCAAGAGTATTTTGATCATTTTATTTTATAAAAAATATTTTTTAATAATTTATTTAAGTGTACCATATTGAGGTTAAGACAAGTATTAAATTTCATATTCATATAGTTAGTATAAAAATAAAATACCTTGAGGCATCGGATCTAGATTAAATAGGTAGTAACTCAATTGATCTAAATTGGAAGGTTGAATGAAATGGGAAGAATATATCTTTTATGCTGTAGAGGAAGCATAAAATCCTTTCCCTTTTATTATAATGAGTAATTTTCATGTAAATTTCTTTCGAGATGGCTTGAATATCTATTTTTATCTCTAATTATAAAAATTTTAAACTCCAAAACTGGTTCAAATGAAGTAGGTCTTTAAACATATGAAAATCTTGAAAATGGATATTTAAGACAATGTATTGTAAGATGCACTATTTTTGAGACTCAAAATCTTTTTTTTTTTTTTTCATAATCATTCATCTCGATGTCGAGATGATCAATTAAAGAGTTTTTCGACATTAAAATGGCATTTTCCAATGAATTTTTAAGGTGCAACTTTAATTCTACATTATAGGGTTGCAACCTTATATAAAAAATTTTCTTTTTTGAATACTCAATTTTCTTAAAACAGGACTCTCTTAAAGTCGATCCTCACAAAAAAAAAAAAATAATCACAAAAAAAAAAAAAAAGAATTTTGAGAGATATGGGTGCATGGAGATATTTTCTCTACATTTAACGCATTGGGTGAGTTAATAATGGTTTCTCTCCTGTTTGATGAAGTCATTCAGGAATCAGGACCGAGCAAGCATTTAACCTAACCACAAGAATTGAACAAGTCATACCTACCTACCCATTAAGAATGTCAATTACGCATTTCTTTCCAATTATCACCACTGCCTCTGCCTGTGAAGGAGGGACTTGGCTTTTGTAACTGTGCCCGTAATTTGGGCGTGGGAAAGCTAAGAGTGGGACTGACCAGGGGTGGACATGACCCAGTGTTGAGCCCACACTTGCCAAAACTCCCTTTAGAATGTTATTTTGAATTTTTTATTTTTTAAAAAATACTTTTTAAAAGGATTCATTCTAAAATAACTAAAAAAAACTCAATGTTTTTTATAAAACAAAATACTACTGCATTTAGGTTTTTTTTTTTAAACACTTTTCAAAAGGGTTTTAAACTCTTTGTTATTTTGGTCAAATATCTTTTTATCTTTTAAAAAGCATGTTTATTTTATTTTTTGCTGATACAGTACTCGACACTATTCGGGCCGAGTAATCAACTGGGGTATGGACCGCATACTCAGCCCGAGTCAACCTTTCTAACACTTGTTGGATTGGAAACGCCAATCCGACTGCATTCAGCAAAGGACCCAATCAGTCGTGATTCTCGTTTTCCGAATACTGGATGAATGCATCTTTGGACTGCCAGGCGTGAAATGTTTGTAAGTTGCCGTTAGTTTTTTCATGGTACAGCGCCAATGGTAGGAGATTAATTTGGTTTTAAAAAAAGGCTATTTATAAAGGCTACTTATGAATACTAGGAAACCAAAAAAACTAAACTAAGTTGAAAATCAAACAATAGGAATGTGAGGTCTACCCAGCTCATCTTTCCAAGATAAGGTTTAAAATTTTAAGGGATTGTATATTTTAACACCATTTATTTTTTGTACAAAGAAATCACAATCATTTTTGGCTATTGAATGTAAAATTTGATAGAAAAAAATGTCGCAACATTCGAATTTTTGTTTTGGGCTTTGTATCTAAACAATGACACATCCTGATTTTAAATCTAAATGACTAACAATGATTGTGACCTCTTTGTATCAAAAGCAAACGGTTTTGTATATATTTCCAAATAAAAAACTGGGTGTTATGCCAACTTACAACTATGGATATCTTGTTATATAGAAGTTAGGCAAAAGTATGCATAGGCCTTCTAGTTTCCTGTTGCTATGCCTAGCTTATGATGTCAGAGCAAACAAAATGCAAAATTAGTTAGTGAGTATAACAATGGTTGGTGTAGAATGAGTAAGAGAGCCATGGCGATATGTAGAGAACTGATTTTCCTTCTCTCTTCACTTTGATAGGACCCTGCACAAGAGGGCCAAAGGAAAAGCAAAATAAATGAATCCCACAAAATTGGTGAATGGTCCATCGTAGCAATAGACATATTACAAGACAACTCACGAACATGATAACAATTTCACATGGGGACTCTATACATTGAGATATTTACTTTTGTTCACAAAGGTCACAAACACCCCGAGTAGTTAGGATGTAAAATCATACAGTTAGGAGGTGTCATTTCCTTACATGAGGTTTGAGAAAAATTTTCTTTGATTTTGGATGCCGCTAATGTACTTCTCCACTCCTCTTGATTTCACATCTCACATCTCATGGTTAAGGGTGATTTGTAATCTTTTTTAACCAAGTCTCAATGTATCCTTTCCCATTTGAAAGATCAGCCTCTAGAGAACAAAGCTAAACAACTTAATAATAAATTAGGGAGATCCTATGTTGAAAGCAGCTAGAATAGCTCATCACTTGTCTCAATATATCTAATTTTGTACCAACCATATAAATAATAGAAAGATAATCAATTTATTTATTTAAAAATATAAAGGAAAAAACCCACATATCTATCTAGAATAAAAAGGGTGCAAAAAAGAAAAGAAAAAAGAAAAAGAAAACACAAGACCCTTAGGGAAAATGTATGTAGCGTTCTTGAACAATACTCCAAATATGATGGAAAAAGGAATAAAGGATCTCACTCAGATTTTATAAATAGTGATGTGATCTTGTGTAAATTCTTTTCAAAATCTTCATTTATAGATGCAAATGCTCCTAAGGTACTTGATTTTGTTCATAAATACAATTATAAGGTTTCAAATGGTTTTGCTCGCATCACCTAAAGAAGACCAATTTTCGTTGTAAAGAATAATATAATCGATTTATTTTAACAATATCTTACATAAATTTCGTTATTAAATTGATAAGATACATATAAGATAAAATAAAGAACATAACCAGGAAAAAAAAGTTTGGAAGAAATATTGAAGAACATTTCACTAGTACTATTTTCTTTAGGTGGGTAATTAATATTAATATCATATCAGTTTTCCTTTTTGCTCTGGTTTAATTAGACATGCCATAGCAACTTGTATTTAGCAAAAGTTAAAGGATATTAGCAGCATTCAATTTATTGTGATAATATGGTGATAAATGGAAAATTTTTATGATAATTCATCATTAAGACTTGATAAAGATTCCACACTTAAAACAATGACTCTCTTGACAGGAACAAAAGGAATATGGAGTTAAAATTCCTTTCAGCTGAAGGGCCTTTTACCTAACTTTTTCCGAAGCTAGATATACATTTTTCCTAAAGGTAAATATTTTTATAAGAAAACACAACAGTACCAGAAATAATTGAATATGCCACTGCATAAAATTCATCAAAAAAATATAGAAAGAGAATCCAAGACCTAGATGATAATGATGAGGAGAAGAATATTAATATTAAAAATAGTTAGTATGCTATCACACTAATAGTATGTAGAAGAGAGGGAGTTGAGGAATATTGAAGAAAGTTTAACTTCGTTATTTACCTAGAAAGGACTGAATTTTTTCAGCAATCCTCGACTATTACCAACTCATAGTTAGCAACACATGTAATGGCAATACATTTATAAGCCGCAAAATTAAATTATTAATTAGGTTTTGGTCCAAAAAGATGCCCTAAAAAAAGGGGTAAGAGAGAATTGATCAATAAAGATCATTCAAACGAATTTTTTTTATGGGAATGGATCTCCAGAAAATCATTTGAGTTAAAAAAATGTTATTTGTTTGGATTTGACTTATTAAAAAAGAGTTAAACAAATGGGTTTATAGATGGGTATTTGTGCATACACATGTAGGGGTAGGGCACATCATTGTAATTTTTCAATTAAAAAGGATAAAAGTTTCAGTTTAAAATATAAGTAAACAAATAATAAAGCAATACAATACCATGTTGGTGTGCGAGGGGAGTAATATCATTTGATTTTGGACAATAACAAAGAAGGCTAAGCAATTTTTTAAAGATGATATATTGTGTCAATATTGCATTTTCCTCAAAAGAAGAGTCCTTTTTTTTAAGTTATTTTGAAAATCACACCTTCAAAACATTTTTAAATAATCAGTCAATTGAAATATTTTTAAGGAAGATGAGTTTCAAGTGGGGTTTTTCTAACTATGGTTCAACCTCTCACTAGATGTAAAATAGGAAGAACAAGTAAAAGAATTAACACCTGTAATTATGTTACAATAAATGAATAATAGTTATAAAAAAAACAAAAAGAAAAAGGTATGGTGTAATTTAAGGAACACTTTACCCGTCAACAAGAGGGCTTGTTACTTGGGGTCATAATTTCAACTACTCCATAGTCTTTTTTGCTCTGAGAAGCTACTTATGACAGCTGACTGATTTTGAATAGTCATCAAATTTGTGAAATGATCATAATATGCAGATGGGTCCAAGCTCTCCAAAACATTAACCAAGCTTCCATTTTCTCCATCAATGTTCATCTTCCCATCAGTTGAGACATCACCAGAGGCCATGACTGTTATTTTTTTCACTTGGGTTGTTGCTTTTAGGAGTGGATCATCAACCAAGGCCACTGCTCCAAGGATTTCTCCCAAGAATATATCCTAGACCAAAACGAGAGATGATAGAATCAGGAGAAATCGTGAACTAAAAGGACATAGCAGTGATACCAAAAAAGTGGTTTTTGATATGTACTAATGTTGAGGTTTATAACTACAAAACTGAGCAAATCAGGGATACATATCATGTAAATTTTTTTAAAATTTATAAATGTAACACATGACTCTTTACCATGTGTTGGTAATGGCGATGCTTTTGTTGTAAATGGTAAAGCCTCGAAAGCAAGCGGCGAACAAACATGGCTTCGGGGGTCTTCTTCTTGGCCAACTCCAATTTATTAAGGATTGTCGAAAAGGAAGAAACATTGGTTTGAACATCTAGAGTTACGAGGGTGATATCAAGTTTCGATTCAAAAACTTCCTTAGTGGCCATAGGATCCAAAAACACATTGAACTCTGCGTACTCATTTGAAGGAATGCTGAACACGTTCCCCCTCCGTTCCTTATCGCTCTCAATTATCTGCCCTCCGACAAAGTATATTTTCTGTGATAGAGAGAAAAGAATGGAGTTGCTAACATCACAATGCTCATATAGAAATAAATTCTACATTGCAGTTACAATCAATATCATAAGAATGAAGGAGACAAAAAATGTGTCAATATTTCCATTTACCACAGGGAGAGAAAATAAAAGATCCATAAATTTTTTTGCCTTTGCACAGTTTTGTTGCTATTTACGAAAAACAAATGTGAGAGCAACAGTACTAGTAAACCACCAACCTCAATTACAGACGTTGCATTTTTATTGGAACGAAAAATGTTAGCCAAATTAGTCATAGGTCCATTCACTAACACTGTGACTTTAGATCCTCCATCAAGACTATTTTTAATAGACTGCCAAACTTCAGATGCACGTGGTTGCCTCAGTTCAGGGTGGTCAGTGTTCCTTGGTGCCCCGAACAGCACAGAGTTCTCAGCTGTATACCTGAAACATGATGACACGCATGGATCAGTTAGAAGTATAGTGCACAGGATAATTAGCTGCCAACTTAGTACCATAGTCTTGGGATTGTTTTAGGAATCAGTATATCATGGATTTCTGTAATCCAAAAGATCGACTTGTTAGAACTCTTACAAATTTGGAACATAAAGCAGTTCACTAACAGCAAAATTTAGATTACGTAGATTTTGGGGTCTAAAATTTTACTCAGTTCTTCATCTTTATAATTTCACACCACTTGAAAAAGACCAACACCAAACTTTGATCACAGATCACTAGGTAATGCAATTGCATTTTCTTGGAACTTGATAAATATGCTTTTCTTTCTATACTTGATAATGATGTTAGAACATATAGCAAGCACTAGGAAGGGAAATTGATTCTGACTGGAATCGGAGTAACATATATGAGGTCAAGGCCAATCAAACATTAAAGAGTTGCATACCAAGGAAACTATTGAAAAATTAAAGTTTCATAACTTCATAAAATTGTGTCAATGTGAAATCTGGAAGTAACTAAAATGCCTAAACACAACGTATGAAAAAATAACAAAAGAGTATCCCATACACTCTAAGATCATACTGCCATTACCTTCGAGGACTTCGTGGCAAATCACGGGCAAGTCCAAATAGAGTGTCAGAATCAAGAAATCCCCCACTTCCATATGGAACTGCTTGGCTATATTTGCATTCCCCAACAGCTGACATAGATGGATTAGCTTGCCCAAGTGCAAAGAAATCCCCCAAACCAACTGGAATGTCATCACGTCCCATCATATGGAGTACATCATAGATGATATCGATTGTTGCAGCATTTGCCCAACCAGTTGCACTCACAAGTATTCCCTGACAAGAGATACATTTTTCTGTTACTTAATTGCTTGGCTAAAGCAAGGAAAGGTATATATTAGTGAATGCTAAAATAAACCAAAGAGCCAATACCTTAAGTTCAATAATTTCCACTGGTACTTTAAGAAGATATATGAGAGCTACAATATCCCCAGCACTCATATCCATGTCCAATATAACAGGCTTCCCCAAATTATGTGCCCCCAAATTTGGCTTGTACAAGACATTTTTGTAAAAGGGAAATTGTGTGGTAAAGTTAAATCGCCCACTTTGGAAAGGGGCATTCAGGACCTGCAATCCATAGAAGCCAGTGACATATGCTTCAAATGCAAACATAAAAAACATAGAATTCTTTAGACTAATATCAAGAATCATCTAATTCCATAATAAAATGAAGAGCATTAAAGAAAACAGAAAGAGCATTTAAAGCAATTTTTTTTTCTTTAAAGAACAAAACCAACAAAAAAATTTGATTCGCTGATGGATGCAGGATTACAATTTAGAGCAGGAGAAACTAGCTGAGAATCACTGGATTCATCGCTGTCAACAAAGTCAAATACATTTTCTTAAATAAAGAAACTTGGATTAGAATGCAAAGTACATAGTTCTATTAAAAAAAAGGCAGTGGTGAGAAGACATTCCCATGTACAGATACAAGCTCACGTAATTATTTGTGTTGCTCAATTTAATACTACTATCTATGAGGACAATGAAAAGCACTCTCAAGTTTTTCAAGCACAAACAAAAAGAGTTTTAAGCTCACCCCAGAAACAATAATAACAAAGCACTCAGTCAAATAAAAAGAATACGAGTTATTCAAAGTCTCCCAATTCAGCCAGAGGTATACTTGGAAATGCCATTTCCCTATTCTTTACTAGAGCCACAAATGCTGAATATAAGATAGTACTATTCATTGATTCCATTCTGTTAATCCATGGTATTGTTTCATTACATTGTTATACATCATTTTTTGTTTAATAAAACATAAGCAAACAGTAGACATGTAATGATAGTTACATTTTAATGCGAGAAGAATACTATACCATGACCCAAGGGCATCCAAACAAATAGGTAGAACAAGAACAACCAATATGTCCAGATAATTACCTCCAAAAAGCTTTTGAAAAATTCTCTATTCAATGTACTATTGATATCTTTGTTTGGTTTTGCTTTTGTTGCAACAAGTACAAGTACTGCTTCACGGCCAGTGACCTCCTCAGTGTAAGCGTCCTGATTATAATGAACTGACAAACAGTTTAGAACATATGAATAATTTCGAAAAACAACACGTTCTAATGCATGTCTAAATATCAGTATGGCCTACAAAAAAATGTGTTACGTAAGATTCAAATTGTACACTACCTTATAAATAACTCCAGCTTGACCTTTAACTCAAATGGAAGTCATATTTCAAACTAAATTCGTCACAATTATTGTGAAAATCCTAAGATTGTAATTATGCATAATATTACGAAAAGCTAGAATACATCATAAAAAATGGCATAGGTATTTTATCATTGATGCCCATCAAGTAACCATGATTCCTGTAGCCGGATGAGCTTCTAAAAGCATTCAAAAATATTTTCTGATATAGAATTTTATTAAGAGAAGGAACATAAAGGGAAACTCAGTGACGTAACATTATAACTATGTACCTTGCAGCTTCCTTTCCCATTCTTTACAAGGCAAAATGGATCTAGAAGTCCCATCTGAACATGACCACTATGAACCCCATCTTTCTGCAAATTGAATTTTGGAATATCACGATTATCAAAGAAAGGATTGGAACCATCATGTACTCCATAGGGTATATTTGATGTAACAATTGTGATATTTCTATATTCCATGTCAGCAAATTCATTTTCCCCGCTATTGATGTGCCCATTTTGCATGATTGACACTGCTACACCTGATGTAAATGAATCCCACATAAAATAGCTCTGCAAGTAATTTTCAATGGGATGTAAGTCAAGATAATTTATTGTCTTAATTTTATTGATCAGTCGAAATTCAACAATAAAATATTAGAGCTATACATAAGGAGACCAATTTCCTGTTTTCTTGTGAAAGAACATAACCCACTGGAAGAAACATCTTCCTTGGAAAGTACCGTAAAAAATGCATCATTGAACCAAGTATCACGGGCAAATTTCAAGGACTGGAAACAGTATTGTGCTTCATAGGTGTTCTGCCATTCTTCATAATTCATGAAGAATTCCTTAGTGATTGGAATTGTATTTGTTGCATCTAATGGGACTAGTGTTATAGGGATCCCAGAATGGAAAACCTGCAACCCACATGAAGAACTGTGATCAGAAAACCATATACTCGTAATTCTCAAGTGCTGGCATCAATAACGAGTGCTGGAGCAGGAAAGATCTCCTATAGCAACAGTTAACAGTCCAAAAAGGATGGGAATCAATTCAATACAGCAACGCCTGAGTCTCTTCAAGCAATGTAGCTAACATTATGAAAATTCGAAGTCATAATGTGGGGAACTACATGGTAAAAAATAAAAAATACATGCAACTTTCATGAGAACCATTCCTTCCAAATAACATGCATTAAATCTACAGACCTATACCTTTTAAAAAAACAACAAGTGGTGTACAGAGATCATGTCCAGCCATCATATAAATTTACCTGGTATGCAGCAAAGGGATCTCCAAATACATTAAACTCTGCATATGGGTTGCTAGTATATCCAGTAAACAAGTTGCCATGGTCACCACACTGTGCAGGCATACAAGAGGAGTTGGCTGTTTTGGGACAACAGCCAGTGGGATTTTTTGACCTAATACCGCCTCCCATGACAAAAATATGTTCAATATTTCTCTTCAAATGAGGATGACTCATAAGGAGAATAGCAAGATTGGTATGTGCTCCTATAATGAACACTGTAGTTGGACCTGCAGATATTGTATCAATCATTACTTCTTGTGCGGTTGGTTGCCTCATAGGTGAATAGTGTCTGCTTCCCTGCTTGCAAAAAAGAAACCCATTACTTCTCTTCAAATAATAGGCATGCCACATGCAAGTACCTGAACTTGGTTGTGCAAACGGACAAAGCATTATGTGATTCATGGAACAGATTAATTTTTATTTTCTCAAGTTGTCTTTATGGGAACCCTTCCAAGTCAACAGTAAAAGAAGAAACGAAGCCTGCCATATCTATTCTTCTTAAACAATCAATATATGGTCAAATTGTTTGTCACCTTTTGACAAGAAATATTGAAATATTGAAAGGGTGGTAGAGGGTTGCTGGAAAGTATTGGTTTCTTACAAAATAATTGGAATGAGAAAGGTGATGAATGTGCATGTTGTAAAAAATTGTTTATACTGTTTTTATCAATTGAGTGTGTTAGTTTCTCGCTGAGGCCCTTCGATTAGAGCCATTCCGTATATATCTGTCTCTGGGAATGCATGTTGCAGTGGTTAATCTCCTATCCCAATGTCATTCCGAACAAGAAATGCGGTGGTCAGTTCCAACTTGTCACACACCCTTATCAAAATGCCATTCTACTCACCATTATCTGTGTAAATGAAAATGTTGGTGTAATTAAAATAGGTTGTTTGTTCTTTGTTCAATATCAAGTCCTGTTTTAGTATTATTTTCTTTCACATATTTGGACATTAGGAATTTCTGCTTTTTTGTTAGTTATTATACATCAAAATCAACATGGAATAAATAATCAATGCTATATAAATGGGTGTTACTTGATAATCTATATACATTGCACGCCATCTTTCCACTGTTAATTTAGTCGCTTCATGTATATGCCTGGTTTTCTGCGTAGAGATTTAACCCAAAGAAAGATGAATACGAAAGAAAAAACAAAAGAGAGACTATATATAGTATTTGAGTATTGAAAGATTTATACTATCTGTCAAATGGTTTATCTTTTGCATTGCAAAAAAAAAAAAAAATACAGAAAATGTTCAAATGTGAAACTTTCTGATGTATCATAGGTTAGTCCACAGCTAGGCCATGGAGATGGGCATATGACTCCTCTTTCTTAGGCAGCAACCATGTACTGTACTGGGCATTTGTTGATCCCTTTTAGTTGACAAGATGTTGATCCCTTTAAAACTCTAGCTGTCTCTGTGACCTAGTGTTGTATGAGCCCACATCTTCCAAACTCTTATTGAGTATCATGAAGGGAATGTGATAAGGCAAGGCCATGGACTATGCCCTAAGCAACCGAGACTGAGTGAATTCTCCATGGAACCTCATTTGATTGTTCGGAATTTTACATTCTGGTTCATATTTCTAATTCAAGACACCATGATATTGCCATGCGTGATTTTTGTAAGAACCAAATTTAATGCTACCACATTTTCAAACTTGGTTCCTTTAAATCTTAAAGTGAGTTAATCTGAAAGAATGCAAATATTTGGCATGGTTTGCAAAAGTATGATGTACTTATCTGTATGATAATGATGGATTTCACCACTAAAGAATGGATATAGAGTTCTCAAACCATGCGACTTAATAAATAATAGAAGAATGATTTTTGGATGGCATTTTGCTAGAAAAACTAATTTAACCAACACCCAAACATCTCATACTGTTCAATATGTTCTCTACTTTCCCAATGTTTCCATGCACCACCTTTAATCCGCATTACTAACAATCTTGCAGCAATTGTTTACCCTTTCAAAGGTTCAAAAGTTTTAAGTCCTGGCATGGATCTTAAATCATGTCAACGTCTAGCGCCACCACAAAAACCAATGGCAACCACAAAGTTTTCCTGAAATGTCTTATTAGCTAATATTCGATCTCAAACCCACTGTCACTAGAGTAAGTTTCAAAAGAACATATGCTAGTCAACATAGAGTCAAAACAAGAATTTTATCCAATTGAGCTGTCTTCTAGTTCAATGTTACTCCCGAAACCCCAGAATCAGTTTTCATTTGACGTGGAATTCAGGTATCTCTTTCCAGATAAAGCCTAAAAGATAGATTGGTTCAGGCAAGTTTATAATGAACTTATCCAGTGGGACACCCATTAAATCAACCCAATGAAGGCCAAACAACAATGAATAGAAATGACGTACTCAGAAAATAAATCCAACGATGAGTTTCATTGTTAAAAAAAGTTTGAATATGTTTTTATTTGACTTTTTAAGAAAATGTGAAATTAATTTCCAGAAGTTACGATGGATTGTGCCCAAGATATGTCCTAAATTTGCTTCCATACAACCTCATAAGGACCAAAGAAAATTTTACCTATAGAACTGGATTCATACCTGTGGAAGGAAATTCTTTCGCACGCCATAGTTGGTGTCAATATCTAACCGTCCTCCAAGTCCTGGGGGGATAGCCTGCCTGTATCGGCAACCAGCAACTGTTGATATTCCCTGTTGAATATTACAGTGTTAGAACACCTAGAAGCATGAAATAAGTTTCATATTTGTGGCTCAAATCACTGCAAACAATCAGAATCATACATCCTGATCACTAATAAATGCCATGTGATAAGGATAAATCAATTATTCAATATGATAGAACGACAAGGTTTGATGTAGGAATAATGGGTCGGTAGTAAAATTCAAGTTTCTGATGAGGAAATCACACCCAAGTATAATTTATATGCATTCTCATGGTGCCTTGGAGCCTATTGGAGCAACCAAATGATAATAATATCAGACCTGTTCAATTATGGAAGCATATCCACCAACATTTGGGAGTATGGTTCCATCAAATAATATCCCACCTTCACCTCCAACTCCAACTGCTATGTCATCACGATCCATCATATATAGGATGTCATATACTTGATTAACAGCATGTCCAGCATCAGTCCACGCATTTGCATTGACAGTTATTGCCTGCATGGGTGATGTATTTGAAGATAACCAGTATTTTCTCTATAACAAAGAAACTAAATAATAGAATTCAAGAGCTTTTCCATACCAATTCATTTAGAAAGTCTATTTTTTGCTTAGAAACTGGTGCTTTTCTAAAGGGATTAGATTCTTCAAGTTGAACTGTGAAAGTTACACAGAATCCCTAGCCACAATTTCACTAAATGAAAAGTTTCTGACAAACCAAGCCAAAGATGGGTCTGGTACAGTGAAAACTGGACTGACCAATTGGACAAAATTTGAGAAAAAATAGAGGAAAAATAGTTTAAAAATGCAATATTTTACAAAATAATTGATCAACTATATTTAGCCACCGATCTAACCAGTTAAGACAAGTATGGTCAAACATTAGTTTTGACCGGTTTTTTACCAAACCTAATTATTGCTTTGGACTGTACTATCCAAAGCACAGATTGGTAGGGGACCCATCTAGTCTTGATAACTTGGGTTTGCTGCATTCTTCAAATAGGTAAAGACAAGTAATAAAAGCAAACTGGTATAGAAATAGCAACCATCCTTTACTCAGGATAGGAGTATTAACTACAGCATGTTGCATGAAAATACTCATACGAGGTGAAATACTCATACAATAAGAGAGAGAGAGAGAGAGAAGAGAGAGAGAGAGAGACAGAGAGAAGAGAGAGAAAAGAGAGAGAGAAGAGAGAGAGAGAGAGAAGAGAGAGAAGAGAGAGAGAGAAGAGAGAGAGAGAGAAGAGAGAGAGAGAGAGAGAGAGAGAGAGAGAGAG